CCCCTTTTCTACCACCCCCATCAACCCCAACCAACAAAAAAGCTTCCGTCACGGGGAATCGAACCCCGGCCACATCGGCACTGTCCGAAGATGAGAGCGATGTATCCTAGCCACTTTGAATTGTTAGTCGATGTCGGGTGTTGGTGGGTGTGAAGGGTGGTGGTGCTTACCTAGACCATAACGGATTTTGTTGGGTGATTATGTAAACATTGCGGTTTGGGGCATTTATATTGTGAGGTGGAGGGAAAATCTAGGGGGATGGAGTGGAGCGTGTTTGTAGGGGGTGGGGCGGTGGAGGTGGGGAGTTGGCGGGAGATGGTGGGTGAGATTCGAGTTTGAAGAGAGAGAGGATTGGAGAAGGAGAACATCTAGGACGTGGAAAGCATAGCTCTTTGTCAACTTTGGTAGATATTCTAGGAGTGTACAAGCATTATCATCTTCCCCACTACAGAATTGCTCATCATCGCAGCCGTTCACAATCTCACATGTCCCCTGAACTTGAGCTTCTCTGTACAGCCCATTCCATGTTCTTTTCCGGTCGTCGTTGCTGTTTGTTTCGCTGCCCTGCTATACTTGCTTTCGATTCTTCGACCTCCTTTATTCCAACTCTCTCCGAGAGCACGAGGCAAAAAACTTATCGTCTTCGGATCTGTTATGGGTTTGCTGCCTCGCTTACATTTGCAAACTTGAGCGAGTGTGAATGGATAATCGATGAGCCTGTGGCCTACGTCTAGAAGCAGACGCTTAAGATACGGAAACGTCTTTCTCTTGCTCACAGGGGCCTTGTTATGTTGGATGTCGGCGGCGAGCGGGCTCTGGCGCCTGGGTACGATTTCTTTCTTGGCGAGCCTTGTTGCAATAGGAGGTATTCGCCCAGATCCTGTGATGCTCTTCATAATTTGAGAAACCGACCCGGCAGATTGAGAGTGCACGATAGGAGGACTGTATGTAGATGCCTCCTCTGATGAACGCAACATTTCATCGGACGAGAACTAGAGTTCGGGCTCGATACATGGCACTGAATACGGGTACGGTCGAGTAACCCCTGGTCCTTTGAAGCGCTCCCCCAGATAGTCGTGTTACAAGTCTTGGTACCGAGTGGCGGAATGGCTCGAATGGTTTGTCACGAGAGGGCTCGAAAGAACATTGACTTTGAAGCTGCGGCGCACGATATCCAGGCCTGTATGACCACTGTTGAACGGGTTGGTGCTTTTTCCTCGGTTTCGAACAAAGTCCTAAGAAACAGCTCTTCTTCAAAGGAGGCTTGGCTTTCAGTCTCGGGGGCGGAGTATAGGTATCTGGTCTGGTCCATACCGGGGTATCGCGTACAGGGTAAGCAGGAGCTGGAGGATATTGTCTTTCAGGAGGATAGTTGGGAGCTTTCATTCGAGATTTCTTCTTGACATTTAGGGGCCCCCGAGCTCTGTTGAACGTTTGAGGGGGAGGTGCCATGATACCAGGCGCTGCGGTACTGGCTTTCCTCTCTCGTGTAGCGGAAGGCACTGTCAGATCGTGTGATACGTGGTCGTTTACCGCTGAAAGAGCACAGGGCTTCCGATGCTCGAGTTTCGAAGACCCATGAAGCTTTGTATCGACATCTCGGTATACTGATGGTGGATTCAAGTCTTCTGCATCCCACAAGGGGTCGGTATTTGGATCTCTCCTCGTTCGTACTCCGGACATAGCTGCAGACGCCTCTTCAGGGGTGGTATCTGTCACGATCTCCGTTGATGCGTGGTAGATGTCGTATACAGCAAGCGGCTCGTCAAGCAGAGAAGAGCGTACAGACTCTCCCTCAAAAGCAGCATTGTACGCCTCACCGGTCTTCTGATCAGGCTGCAGACCGTCTAGTACAGGTGGCTCGAAGGATGCGGATAAGCTCATGTCAATCGCCTCGGGTCCTGGCGTTGGCGGACAAGGTACTATACGAGCTCCTCCCATTTGGAAAGCCGGTTCTTCAAGCTCAGAGTTGTCAGAGAGCCATTTCACAAGCTCAGTAGGTCTGCCGTTTGTTTCGCGTGTAGCTGTAAGCAGAATAACAGAGTCTTCCTTGTCCTCCAGTTCCTCAGTAAAGGACTTAGAAGAAAGGTTGCCTGAACGAAAAGGTATGAAATACCCTTGCTGATCAGCTCTTCCAGATGTGGTAGATTTGCTAGCTCGATTGACTGGAATCCCAAAAATGGCATACTCTTCTTGCGCTTCATCTCTAGTTGTAGGGCCGAAGCTCAAGGCTCTTTCGAAGACGTGTGACACATATTCAGCTTCCTTTGTGGTAGACGGATGAGACAATTGAACAGTGAACTTCCTCAATGGCATGTATCGTTCTACATCTACCTTAGAAGAGGACTCTGCAACTCGTTCCACAGGAATAATCGGGCCTGTGACTAGAGAAGTGGTGCGTTCCGTAGTTATGTGCGGTAGCATATCTGCTGCGAACTCAGCGAACTTTGGTTTCAAGTCTGGTGTTGGCAGGTCCGAATCCTCAAGTACGCTAGCATCGAGAGAGGTATGTGATACAGTTCGCTTGCTTCGCAGGCTCGGCTGGGTGGCGATAGCTTGAGTTGTAACGTGCTGAACCATCGGAGAGTCCCTAATCTCTTCGTCCCCTTCCTATAGCTCGGAAGAGGAGAAAGAAAAGGGACTTTGCCAGTCAGTATGTTGTGACAAGACAGTTGATAAGACTGTTGTATGTGGGATTGGAGTTTGACCACAAGTCTCGTGTTCAAGCGCCATCCGGTGTTCTGGGTGCGTTCTCTCGACAGGAGTCTTGGATTTCATGCTCTTTAGAGCGTCTACATGAACCAGTGGCGTAAAAGAGTAACCTTGTTCGTGTTCTATTGAGTTGTTCTCGACAGGCTGTTCATGCTCGAGATTTGCAACAGAATCTCCATGCCCAAACACAAGCCCTGTAAGAGATCGCTGAAGCGGGATGAAACCGGCGTAGATCATCTCACGATGAGGTGCGTAATCGGTCTCTGATTGCTCATCAGATTGTTTAGTCTGAAAATCGAAGTTCAAAGGAGGAAGAGTTTCGAGGACAGTAATGATCAAATCAATTACCACGGTAAGCTCAGGCTGTGCCACCCCTAACCAAGTCTGTAATCTCTTTAATGAGATTTCCCCAGAGTGGAAGGATTTGTCCCTGAGTCGCGTTAACTTCCTTGACAACCCGGAAGATGTTTTGTTGAGCATCCATTTAACAGGCTCGAATGCGAGCCTGCATTCGCTATAGATCTGCCAAGGGGCACCCAAGTCTTCAGCAATATTGCCAAGCTTTTCCATAAGACGTGCGCAAGCGTCTGACAGCTCGTTCAAGTGTCTCCGAGTTTGCTTAAGCCAAGCGAGTTGGTCGGATTCGATCTGCCCTGGCACGACGTCTTCAGAAGGCTTGGGGACGCTTTCTCGGGAAGCAACTGGAGTCGTAGAGGAACCTTGCACAGGCGCATTTTGAAACAACTCATCGTCCTTAGCGCTGGGTCGTCTGTCCAGATCAATGCCAAGGTCATCTGCAGTAGAATCGATCAGATCAACTAGATCAGAAACCGTCTTGATGCTCCTACGCAACAAGGACTTGCGGTCGTTAATATTTGGAGCAAGCAGCCCAGGTAACCCAACATTCAGCTTCTCAGCCGCCTTGGGCGGAACGTATGGGCACGACGGTTGCTGTTCGTACACTTGCTGCATCGCTTTCCCCACTGATTGGCGTGTGATCTGGTAAGGCTGATGGACTGTTTGATGGGTACAAGAAGAGCTGCATGGCGCGTGACAAAGAGGAGTACAGACGCCTTCAACCTGGTATCGTTGAATATGATCTTCAGACATCCTTCGAAGCTGGGAGAAACTGGGTTCAGCATATTTGATGCTGTTGATCACACCTTGCAGTGTGTTAATGTACTCTTCCAGGATAGCATCTATGATATTTCCAAGGTCCCTTGCCAAGGTATCGCTACACTTGTCTGTAGGTGGAAATTCAAAGTAGTGTTTGCGGTGTCCAGGGCTGCGACAGTACGTGCCATGGGCCTTCTTCGATGAGTGCGAACTTGATGACAATTCCGTCGCCGCTCGTCGCTGTTGTTTCGCCGACTTCGAACCAGGCGGTCGAGGCTTGGTTCTACACTGGTGACATAGCTTCATAGTTGCCTTCTCACGAGGTTCGGTAGAGGCCATGAATGAGAAATGACCGCAAGCACGCTTGGTCCACTTATCGGGATTTTGGAGAGGCTTGTGTGTTCTCAATGTGCCCCACGGCTTGATGCGCGCACCAGGAAAGCCAAAGTCTTGCGTCTTGCGTCTTCCGTATGCGCTACGCCAATCGACATGATCGGGCACGGCAACATTGGGCTCGTCCGAACTTACATGCTCATTTAAATTTTGAGAGGGAGCAGGGCCTGCACTTCGGCGAGACAGTGAGGACGTGGAGCGCGACCCGTCATGGCTGAAGCTGTTGGAAGCAATGTCCAGAACTCTTCCAAGAACGTTGCTATCCCCGGTACTATCATTGTCTTCTGTAGATCGGCTGAGGTCTGGTGCTAAAGACCTGTGAGGCCTCAGCCTTGTCGTTCGTGCAGGTGATGTTATCTCATGGGTGAGAAGGGCATCGTGAGACTTGCGCCTGCTGAATCGCTTAGCCGTGGGTTCGTGGTCTTCCTCGATAGCTCTTCGAACAGCGTAACTAGGGTGCGCACTGGACGTTGTAACCTGTTTGGTTGCTTCTTGGTCGCTTTCAGCGGCTGTCATAGAATGGGTATAGCGGTGTCTCACTGTCTCATCGGATACATGGCAGTTGTCGGCTCTGTCGGTATGCTCGAGAGCCGTTAGATGTGCATTGGAAGTATTGTCTGCTTTCGAGTTTTTGCCAACAGGCCGCTGCCTCTTGCCTACAAGCTCGGTATCTCGAGGGGCTATTGCGAGGACATTGGTAGGATGCCGCCCACCAGATCTTGTTCTGGGAGCGTCAGATGAATGGTGATTGTATGCAGGAGAGTCTTGAAGTGCAGTTGCTTCCCGAATATCACCATTCGATATCGAGGCGCCTTTAGGAGGAGCGAGAGGGTTCGTCAGCTGAGAAGGCTCAAGCTGCGTAGACGCGTCCGGCGGTGGACTTAACAACATCGGCTCTGTATTCGAGTCAGGTTGTATCGCAATGCGCGAATTGAAACGAGTGGTCTCATCCCCGGAGCGGCCA